AGTAGTAGTAGTAGTAGTAGTAGTAGTAGTAGTAACAGTAGTGGTAGTAGTAACAGTAGTAGTAGTAGTAGTAGTAGTAGTAGTAGTAGCAGTAGTCGTAGTAGTAGTAATAGTCGTAGTAGTAGTAGTAATAGTAGTAGTAGTAGTAGTAGTAGTAGTAGCAGAAGAAGAAGTAGTAGAAGTAGTAGAAGTAGTAGTAGTAGGTAGTAGTAGGAGTAGTAGTAGTAGTAGTAGTAGTAGTAGTAGTAGTAGTAGTAGTCGTCGTAATAGTATAGCCGATGGCAGGCGCATGGGGCCCTCCCCCTCCTCTCCCTGGAGAAGGGCGGACCGCCCTGTTTTTGCTGGGAGGTGCCAGGGGAACCCCCTCCCCGTCCACCCTGACGTGAGGGAACGAGGTCCTGCGCGGAAGCGGGCCCTGGACACCAGGGCCGTACCTGGGCCAGCAGCTGCATCCTCCCCAGACCCCCTCGCGTTGTGAGAAAACCACGATGGCAAATTTTGCTACTTCCGGCATCCAGGGGCCCGTGGCGGGCCTCGGGACCGTCCAAAAACGACTCCGCATGAGGTACTAGTCCCGGGGAAGGGGTCCAGACCATGGCGGTCGACGCTGTGAAAAAATCACGACGTCGGGGATCTGGGTGGGTCACGTATCGGGGATCTCCTGACCCGGGTCAATCCAGACCCGGGTCAGCGGGAGACCAAAAACTGCAATGGTGGGAAAAAAAACTGCAACGCAGGTCCTCGCAAACCCGGGTCAGCCAATATGCGCGGCCGCCTCGCGGCCACGAGCGGCTCGCTAACCCGGGTCAGCCAGAGGGGGTCTTCGCAAGATCCTGCAGGATCCGGTGCCCTGGCTGACCCCCGTTTGCATTGACCCCCGTCTCTTGAGCCCCGAACGTACTTGCTCTCCTCAGTTCCGGCGTCGGGGGCGCTCGGGGGGCGAAAACCGAGAAACACCCGCAAGGCCCCTTCGGGCCGACCTTGCCCTCGAATGACCTCCGTTGGTGGGGGGAGGCGTGGCATGATCCGCCCCCTGCGTCGCGCTTGTCCGCTGGGCCCCGAGGGTACCCCGACTGATCACTCTGCGCAAGACAGCTTTCCTGGCCTGTGGCGGCAACCTGAGGATGGGGGCGCCGGGGACCTGGTGTCGTCAAGAGAGCGCAACATCGGATCTGGATCCTCCCTCCTCCTCCTCCTCCTCCACCTCCTCCTCCTCCTCCTCCTCCTCCACCTCCTCCTCCTCCTCCTCCTCTGGAGACCCTTGGCAGACCCAACAGACACGTCGCCCCGAAAAGGGACACCGCCGCAGCAGGTTGGTGCTCACCCAAGGGCTGGGAGGAGGGTCGAGGAGGAAGAGGAAGAGAAGGAGGAGGGGGGAGGAGGAGGGCGAGGAGGAATGGGAAGGAGTAAGAGCTGAGGGAGGAGGATACGAGGAGGAGGGAGGAGGAGGAGGAGGAGGAGGAGGAGGAGGAGGAGGAGGAGGAGGAGGAGGAGGAGGAGGAGGAGGAGGAGGAGGAGGAGGGGAGGAGGAGAAGCAGGGGGAGGGGGGTGGCGCAAGGAGCCCTGCGCGAGCCGACCCGCAGGTGGCACGTGCGGCTGCGGCGCCCCCGTCCAAGGCCCGTGCGGCCGGGCAGGCGCCCTCCCCCACCCTGCAGGGGCCTTTTCCCAGCAGGCGTCGCAGATGGTCAGAGCCCCGAATCATCAGGGGGAACTCGGGTCAGGGCTAGCTCGGGTTCGCTTTTCGGGATTCCGAACCCGAGTTGCCCCGGGGCCCGAGCTGCCCCGGATAATTCGGGCGCCCAGAGCCCCAATCCATCGGGGGCAACTCGGGTCAGGGCTAACTCGGGTTCGTTTTTCGGGAACCCAGACCCGAGTTACCCCGGATAACTCGGGCGCCCAAGATGGGGTGCGGTGCCCTTCTTCGAGTCCCATGGACAAACCATACAGTCGGGGCGTTGACCTAAGGAACCCTAAATAAGGAACGAGGACCCTTTCTACCATGAGTTGAACTTCGACTTCCCCATCGAAAACCTAGGGAAAACCTGAGGCAAGCTGCGAAACACTTAAGGAACGCGGAGCCCCTCCCCAACGAAAAGGGTTCCTTCTTCAGGGCCCCGACTGTACGCCCAACAGAAAAACATCATCGATCCCCTCCTGCTGGGGGGTGGAGGGGGACCCACGAACCTATGTGTAGGGCCAGGGAGGGGGGCACAAATGTGTGGGCGAAAAGGGGGGCGAGGGGATGGGGTGAACTCGGGGACCAGAGGATTGGGGATGTACCGGGGGCCAGTTGAGGTAATGCCACGGGCAGGCGGCGCTGCACACCGCGGCCCGCTGCCCTTCAGTGAGCACGCCGTACTTTTGGTAGTGTTGCTCTCGTGGGCTTTCTCAACGGGGCGATCGGGTTTGCATGTCGCAAAGACGAGATACAGCAGGGCATTTCACGCCCTATAGGCGACGATGTGCGGCCACTCGGTGGTCATGTCGATGCAGCCGTCGCCATCCTCAGAAGGGAAGGCTCCGCATGGCCATGGCGAGGAGGAGGAGGAGGACAACGACAACGACCAACTACAGCAACAAGAGCACCGCTGAGGAGGAGGAGGAGGATGACGACGACGACGAAGGATCGGTCAGAACGACAATCAGCTTCTGCCCCTCTCTTGGCGCGCTGGGGGTGCTCTCTTAAAGTCTTAGAACCAGTGGAGGTATACAGTCGGGGCGTTGACCTAAGGAACCCTAAATAAGGAACGAGGCCCCTTTTTTCCATAAGTTAAACTTCGATTTCCTATCGGAAACATAAGGAAAACCTGAGGCAAGCTGTGAAACACTTAAGGGACGCGGAGCCCCTCCCCAACGAAAAGGGTTCCTTCTTCAGGGCCCCGACTGTAGGAAGAGGAAGGCACTGACTACCACGACGATGGCAAGTACGAGCAGATGGCCATGTCAAGGACCATCACGACGACGGCATAATGAACGTTCCCCAGATGGAAAGCCACCAAAAATTCTCAGTAACGGATTTCGGTCGCGACAGGAAGTGGTCCGGAAGGGGTCCGACTGCGAAGACACGCCGCGTCCAAGTCCAAACGAGGGGACCGAAGACGTCGAAGGCTCGCTCGCTACCGGAGTTTGCGAGCGAAGGCCGACATTCGGTCGCGACCGGCTCGTCCAGAGCGTTACCGGAATCTCAAGTAAAGGGTGATCCGGGCCGGCGGGTCTGGGAAGAGGTGGCGTGCGCTGGAGTCGATTCCTGGCCATCGCTCGGACGTCCATTCCCTGTTTTTTTTGTTGGTTTCGTGCGTGGTTTTTTCGCCAAATGATTAAGAATGCTTCTCGATGGTCCTCGCCGAACGAAAGATGCACACGTCCGAGCGATGCCAAGATTCAGAGAGCCCCGAAACCCTTTGAGAGCGTTGCAGAGCGCCGTGGAGCCACATGCTTCATTTGCGACACGGAAAAAGCATACTACAATAGGTTCGTGCGGCGTCGGCGTGCGGAAAGGCGTCTGATACCGCGTCGATCGTCCAACCTTGAACAGATCGCGGCCACGACCGTTCAAAAATAAATTCCGTTGGGTCCTGTGGCGTTGCCGTGTCCCTCGGTGCTTCCGCCTCTTCCTATCGGAATGCGAACTCCACCCTGCTCGCCTCCGCTTGCGTCGCCGAGTCGCCATCGCCGCATGAGCCTGCCGCAGTGCAGTGTGCTCCTGTGGGGTGCAGACGTCTAGCTCGACCATATGGGCGATCCCGAAAACCATGCACCCAAAAACGTTGTCATCTCCTGGGGGCGCACTTTTAACTTCCCCCGCCTCCCGCCGAGCTTCCGCCGGGACTCCGCCGGCGGAGGCGGCCTCGCTGGACCCCCGCCGCCCCTCCGCCGCCCTTCCGCCGCGGCGGGGACCACGGCTCCACCGATCCTCGAAGGCAAAGGCCCCTTCTGGCACGCCTGGTAATTTGCAGTACCGCACGCGCACCTCGTCTTGCACCACGCCCCGGCTCGACCAATCAGCGAGATGGCCAGCGAGCGACGGCCACCGAGCCCGTGCTGCCTGACTTCTGAGCGCGCGCGCGCGCGCGCCCCCCCCCCCCCCCCCGGGGGGCCGCCGCGCACACGCCGCGCGGCTGCTTCAAAGCACGTGCGCGGGCGATGGCGACGCCTCGGCTTCTGTCCCTCGCCCGGCGCGCTGAGGCGTGCCTGTCCCTGCGCCCGCCAGAGGGGAAGCGATGAGGTCGTGACGCTGTCAGCAGGAACCCTGGATAGGGAACGAGGCCCCTTGTGTTCCATCCGGTGAAACGCTTCGATCTGCCATCGGGAACCAAAGGCGGCCTGAGACATACTGCAGGCATAACACTGAGCCCCTCCCCAACAAAGAAGGGGACTAGCTCGGGGGGGCAGCATTCGGTCGGGCATGTCCTCCTACAGACGAAAAAAAATAAAACATGGAACAACAACAATCAAAACATACCCCAAACTGGGCAAGAAATGTAATCGAGAAACCGTCCCCAGTCCATCTTTAGACAATTTTTCAACATTCCTCCTGTCGAGGGACATGCTTGACTTTCGGGCAGCATCGACCTGGCATCTGCGATGCCTCGGCGTGGCGCCCGCGGCAGCGAGACGGCACGCTCCCAGGCGGGGCGGCCCCCCCGGCAAGGCCGCCACCGACGACGCACAGGGCGACACGGGGCCGATGCGCCCCGCCCGAGACTATCCTTAGGTCGGGCACTGCAGGGGGATTTTGGACGACAGATACAAAATAGACTAACACATATATGCAAAAATAATCAAAAATGGTCCCGGACTATGTTTGAACTGTTTTTGAATACTCCTCCTGTGGAAGGACCGGCACGACTTGAGCCAATCCCCCTCTGACGTTTCCCTTGTTGATGCCGACGAATCATGTTCTATCCCTCGCCCGGCACGCCGCGGGGTGCTTCCCCCGGCGCACCCCCCCCACCCACCTCTGGGGAGCGCTGGGCATCGCCCCCGGGAGGAGCTCGATGTGTACAGGCCAGGTCGTCTATGGTCGGCCAGGCAGCTCTTTGTGTATAGACGCCACGGAGGCCCCACCTGTGGGGGACGACGGGGGCGTCACCACTGTGAACTGCTTTGCTGCCGCAGGCGGATCTTTGGCGACGGTGCCGCCTCAAAATTAAGGGAGCAAACAATGATATAAACATAACAACTCGGAGGTCCGCGCGGATTTCTCGGATCGGCGCTGGAACCCCCTCCCTAACGCGCGGAGCGCGCCAGGGGCGGCGCCAGAAGCGCCGCCAGGGGGCTCCAGCGCCGATCCGAGAAATCCGCGCGGACCTCCGAATTTTTAATTTCATGTGATCGTTCGTTCTCCTAAAAATACCCTGGATGCGAAATGCTGTTCTTCGTTCTCATGTCGTCGCTCGTTCTCCTAAAAATACCCTGGATGCGAAATGCTGCAGGCTGGTGACTGGTGCTGTGGCGAACGGCGCCTGTGGTGGACCACCGCGCGCCTCGGTGCTACGACGATCTGTGGCAGGGGCGCGAGCACACGAATACGAAGGGCCCCTGGGGCACACAAGTAAATAGACACAGATAGCCAGGTCCCAGATGGTTTCCGATAAATTCGGTGTGTTATCCCCCCACCCACGCTTCCCATAGTCTATAGTTTCTCAGATTTCTGGGCGTTATCCCCCCCTTATGTTTTCCTATCTTTTCTGGGTGTTATCCCCCCCCCGACGCTCCCCATATGTTCCCAGATCTTCGGGGGAATCGACGATGAATTGTGCCTGTGCGTTGTTCCCATCCTGAGAATAGCTCGCCGGCGAGAGCCCGCTTCTCGCATCCCTTCCCCTGGCGGGGGCGGCGAGCACGACCGCCCGACGGAACAGGTCGACCGACGTACACGAGAGCAGATGCGCATACATCGACCCCCCCCCCCCCCGACGCCCGCTGCGAGCGGGGCCGCCGCCCCGGCGGCGGCGCGAAAGCGCAGCCGGCTCTTGGATTCAGAGCACCGGCGGTTGAATTCGAGAAGCGTTCTCATGACTTCCCAAACCCAGATTTTTTCCTGAAGTCAAGGAACCAACGTTCGGGGGATGCAAGGACCGTTATTTTATTCAAAAACCAATGTCTTGACTTGTTTTCACATTTTTTCATTCAAAGCCGTTTTTTAGGTCAAAAACCAGTGTCTTGATTTCCGAAAACCGCTTTGTTCATTCAAAGCCGTTTTTTTATGTCAAAAACCAGTGTCTTGATTTCCAAAAGCCGATTTGTTCATTCAGAGCCGTTTTTTAGGTCCAAAACCAGCGTCTTGATTTCCGAAAACCGCTTTGCTCATTCAAAGCCGTTTTTCAGTCAAAAACCAGCGTCTTGATTTCCTAAAGCCGATTTGTTCCTTCAAAGCCGTTTTTCGGTCAAAAACCAGTGTCTTGATTTCCGAAAGCCGACTTGTTCCTTCAAAGCCGTTTTTTAGGTCCAAAACCAGCGTCTCGATTTCCAGAAGCCGATTTGTTCCTTCAGAGCCGTTTTTTAGGTCAAACACCAGCGTCTTGATTTTCGAAAACCGCTTTGCTCACTCAACGCCGAGCCGCCCGCGCTCCCGAGCGGGCCGCCGCCGCGCGGCGCGAAGGCCCGCCGGGCCGCCGGGCGGGCCGCCGGGCGGGCCGCCGGGCGGGCCGCCCTGGCGCGGGCGCGGGGCGGCGGCCCTCCGCGGCCGGAGGGCAGCGCCGCGCGGCGAGCAGCTCGGGCGCGGCGCCTCGCCCCAGGAGAGCGCGGCGGGAGCACCAGCCCAGAGGTGGATCGAGGAGGTGGATCGAGGAGGAGGATCGAGGTGGATCGAGGAGGAGGAGGAGGAGGAGGAGGAGGAGGAGGAGGAGGAGGATCGAGGAGGAGGATCGAGGAGAGGGCGGAGGAGGAGGAATGGGGGGAGGATCGAGAAGATCAGGGCGGAGGAGGAGGAACGGGGGGAGGATCGAGAAGATCAGGGCGGGATGTTTTTAAACGACGCGAAGGTCGGGACAAGATCGGATCGGGATGACTCGAAATCTCAGATAATCGGCGGGTTTGGAGGATGTCTTGGGCGCCGCGGCCGCTCCAGAGCGTTCCGGAACGCTCTGAGAGCGCTCTGGAACGCTCTGGAGCGATTTATCCCGATCCTAGCCCTGTTTTATGTTTGGCCCCGGGGGGCCCTCGCAGAGCCTCGGGACCGTCAAAAGACGACTCAGGACGAAGAACTGGTCCCAGGGAAAGGGCCGGGACTTGCAGGGATGCCGTCCTGAAAGAGCCAGGGCGTCGCAGGCCTGGGAGCGCAGCGCAGCGTCCGACCGAGCAGCTCGGGGAGCGCCTCGCCCCAAGAGTGCGGCGGACACACCAAGACGACAATCAGCCCGTATGAGAAGGATGCGCGGCAAGGATGCAGGGGCCTTGGGAGGCCCTGCCGGCACTCTGCGAGCGGGGGGCGCGCCAGCGAGAGCGGCCGAGGACGGGCCCAAGGAGATGCGAGGGCAACCCTGGAAAGGTGCTCTCATACTCCTCAGCTGTGCGGGCTGACTGCGCTGCCCCTGCACAACAGCACACACACACACCACCCCCAGACGCTCGAGCAGCACGTGTGGCTGCTGGCCACGAGCCGCGAGCCGCGGCGATCTCCGACGATCTGCTTTCTTTTATTTGCCGATCATGCGCGGCCCCGTCCTGCTGGCGCCGTGCCGGCCCTGTCCGAGCCCGCGTCGTGCCGCCCATGCCGCCCGGCGCCGGCCGTGGCGCTTCTCGCAGGCTGCCCTTGGGGACGACGCCGCAGCGCGGCGCCCGACGGGATCACCCAAATGGACGCACGGCGTCAACACGCTTCTACGACAACGCCCCCCAGAGTAGAGGCGGGCTCCCGAAAGATCGGCGGTACGGCGCACGCTACTGCAACCCCCTTTTGAGGCCCAAGGAGGTGCCAAAAGTACACACCTGATATGAGCCTCCGGGGCCTCCTGGCGGTTCAAGGGCTCTAAGACGGTCCAAGATGGCCTCCAGGCGGCCCAAAGACAGCCCAAGATGGCCCCAAGAGGGGCCAAGAGGCCCCGAAGACACTCCAAAGGGAAGCCGAAGAGCTGCTTCAGAGGCAAAAGCTATTGTTTGTTACACATAGGTTTTGTGCATCATGTTCGCGTTCTCGCCTTTTTCAACCCTCGGGGGCCCATGACGGCCCGAGCAATCTCCAGGATGACCTCAAGGAGGCCCCAGAAGCCCCCAAGAGAGCCTCACGGCGACTCTAGAGGGCCCCAAGGTGTCCGAAAGAGGCCCTCAAGACGGTTCGAGAGGCCCCCCAACTTCCCAGGAGGCCTCCAAGAGAGAGTCACGAAGCGGCCCCGAGAGGCCTCCAAGGACGGCCTCCGAAGAATTTGAAGTTGGCGTTGCATCGTGCGGACACGCGGTGAATGCCCATTGCCCTCAGGGACGTCCGCACGCTCGTCCCGGCGCTGAAAAGGGAGCGGGCGCATCCGACCCCCGTGGCACTGGCAGCGCCCCGGGTCGGGCCGAAAGACATGGTAGAACTTCGCGGCAAACGAGCAGGGCAAAGCACCCAACGCTCACTCTTTACGCGCTCTGGACGAGCACCCCGCGAAGCGACACATCCACGTCAGGAGTTGACGTGTTGCTGGAAGGTCCGTGGGGGTTATAATGCACCGTGCCCCGTACATCCAATTCTTCCATGATTGCTACATGTTGTCAGAGTGAGGGGGCCGAACGGTCATTCATTGTCCGTGGGTGCGTGGCTGAATAAGGAATTCGTGGTGAAAGTTCTGATTGTTGTTGTCGTTGTCGTTGTCGTTGTCGTTGTTGTTGGTTGTTGTTGTTGTTGTTGTTGTTGTTGTTGTTGTCGTTGTCGCTGTTATTGTTGTTGTTGTTGTTGCTGCTGCTGTTTGTTGTCGTCTCACCCTCGACCCACCCGCGACTCACCCCGCGACCCACCACGCGACCCACCCCGCGACCCATCCCGCGACCCACCCCGCGACCCACCCCGCGACCCACCCCGCGACCCACCCGCGACCCACCCCGCGACCCACCCGCGACCCACCCCGTGACCCACCCGCGACCCAACCCGCGACCCAACAGGCGACCCACCCCGAGACCCACCCGCGACCACCCATCCCGCGACCCATCCGCGACGCATCCGCGACCCACCCGCGACCCACCCCGCGACCCACCCGCGACCCACCCCGCGACCCATCCTCAAGGGAGGAAAAACCACCCAGACCCGACAATTGACTTTACTAAAACGGCCCTGGGCTTTGACTAAACAGCCCTGCCCTGTTCGATTCTTTCCTTGTGTGCGTTTACTAAACGGCTTCGTTTGTCGAGGTGATTATTATGGGGTGGATTTTCAGCCCTCTACACCCGCGACCCACCCGCGACCCAACAACGATCCACCCGCGACCCACCCGCGAGCTGCCCACATTAGTAAAAAATCGGCGCCTGCGGCGGGCTCGTTGCATAATTTGTGAAACTTTGGCGCCTGCGGCGGGCTTCTCCAGAGTCTCGCAGTCTGCCAACGTCCCCACTGCCCCCTCACTCTTATCCGCATCTGCGAGGTGCTACGAGTAGGTATTATTTTGCAATATCATGTCTTCCCCCTTGCCGTCGTGGAGTCGCGCCACGTCCGCGGACGAAAGTGCCCCCCCCCCCCATCCTGAAAGACGTACCGAAACGTACGGGCAATCTATCGTGTCGTCCGCTGGGGCCTTCTTAGGGTCCTAGGGAGCCTCCAGACGGCTCAAGATTGTGGCCACAAGAGAGCCCCAGAGGCCCCCGAGCAAGCCCCAGAGGCCTCCACGGGGGCCCCCCAAAACACCTCCAGAAGCCAACACATATTTCCCTTCAGGTTTTTCACTTATCTTCGCGCGGGGAACCGTGACGGCCCAAGCAGCCTTCAAGATCAGAGGCCTCCAAGACGGCCCACGGGTACCCCGAGGGAGCCACAAGGCGGCCCGAGAGGCCCCCAAGACGGCCTCCGAAGGGGCCACACGGCGCATTGGTGCCCCAAAACAAAGGCCCCAAGAAGCCCCCAAGGGTACCCAAAAAGCCTCTAAGAGGCCCCCAAAAAGCCCCCGACGGGCCCAACAAACCACCAAGAGGCCTGCGGAATTGTATCCGAATGGTGCGTTGCTGCCATGCTCATTGTGTTGTCTTGTGCTGACACGCGGTGAATGCCGCGGTGAATGTCCATTGTTCTCATCGAGTGTTCGCACTCGTCCCGGCGCTGAAACGAATGGGGCGCATCCGACCCCCATGGCGCTGGCAACGCTCCAGGGTGGACAGAACGACGCAGCAGACGAGCAGGACAAACCACCCAACGCCCAGTCTTGACGTGCTCCGGACGTGCCCCCCCCGCGAAGCGAGAGGAACCGCATCGACAGGCGAGCCGCAGGCAGCAGGCCGGCCTTGGGAGGCCCCCGCGACAGCCTTCGAGGGGGCTCTCGCGGCGCCGCTCAGGAGGAGCTCAGGTCGGTCCGCACGCAGGCGCCCCCGGGCGCAAAGTACGCGGCGGGCACCCGGCCGACTTCCGCGGCCGTCTCCCCGAAGTAGCTCCGCGAGAGCACCGCCGCGGCCGCGCGGCCGAACAGCAGCCACTCGGCGAGGTTGGGCCCTGCGCCTTCGAGCGTGCCGGCCAGGTCGGAGCGCTCGATGTGGACCCGGCCCACGGAAGGCGGGATCCGCAGCTTGCCGCTGATGCCCTCCGGGGTCTCCGCGGCGCGCGCGGCCACCTCCCCGGGCCCCCTCGCGTGAAGGACGACATCGCGGCGGGAGGTTTTTCTCCCCGCATGTTTCGCGGGGTTTGGGTTTTGTTCCCTGCCGCGTCGCACCCGCGTCTCCCTCCTCCCCTGCTCTTTCTTCCTCCTCTACAAACACAGAAACACAGACACACACACACACAGACACACACAGACACACACAGACAGACAGACAGACAGACAGACAGACAGACAGACAGACAGACAGACAGACAGACAGACAGACAGACAGACAGACAGACAGACAGACAGACAGACAGACAGACAGACAGACAGACAGACAGACAGACAGACAGACAGACAGACAGACAGACAGACAGACAGACAGACAGACAGACAGACAGACAGACAGACAGACAGACAGACAGACAGACAGACAGACAGAGACAGACAGACAGACAGACAGACAGACAGACAGACAGACAGACAGACAGACAGACAGACAGACAGACAGACAGACAGACAGACAGACAGACAGACAGACAGACAGACAGACAGACGACAGACAGACAGACAGACAGACAGACAGACAGACAGACAGACAGACAGACAGACAGACAGACAGACAGACAGACAGACAGACAGACAGACAGACAGACAGACACACACACACACACACACACACACACACACGCGCACACACACACCACACACACTCACACACACACGCACACACACACACAACCACGCACACAGACACGGCCGCACACACATCAGACACTTACACACCACACACCACACAACAAAAACATAGACACAGACGCAAAGCGCGGCAGGCGTGGCATATTCTCGACACCATCGGTGGTGCGCAAGGGGTGGTCCCTCAGCGCGGCCACTATTCGTCACAGTCGTCCAGGGCACAGCAGGCGTTGCATTTTCTCGACACCATAAGGGGGTGCGCAAAAGGTGGTCCCTCAGCGCGGCCGCTATTCGTCACGGTCGCCCAGGGCACAACAAGCGTGGCGTTTTCTCGACAACGTGGGGGGTGCGCAGGGGGTGGTCCGTCAGCGCGACCGCTATTCGTCACGGTCGTCCAGGGCACAGCAGGCGTGGCAGATTCTCGACACCATAGGGCGTGCGCAGGGGGTGGTCCCTCAGCGCGGCCGCAAGTCGTCACGGTCGTCCAGGCACAGCAGGCGTGGCATTTTCTCGACACCACAGGGGGTGCGCAAGGGGTGGTCCCTCAGCGCGGCCGCTATTCGTCAAGGTCGCCCAGGGGACAATAGGCGTGGCATTTTCTCGACATTGTGGGGGGTGCGCAATGGGTTGTCCCCCAGCGCGGCCGCTATCCGTCACGGTCGTCCAGGGCATCGCAGACGTGGCATTTTCTCGACATCTTAAGGGGTGCGCAGGGGGTGGTCCCTCCGCGCGGCAGCTATCCGTCACGGTCGTCCAGGGCACAGCAGGACTGGCATATTCTCGACACCGTAGGGAGTGCGCAGGGGTGGTTACTCACTGCGGCCGCTATGCTCGACGGTCGTCCAAGCACAGCATGCGTGGCATTTTCCCGACACCATAAAGGGTGTGCAGAAGGGGGTCTCTCACCGCGGCAACTATGCGCGCTGGACGTCCACGGCATAGCAGGCGTGGCACTTTCTCGACACCATAGAAGGTGTGCGGGGTGTGGTCTTTCACCGCGGCCGCTATGCGCGCGGGTCGTCCAGGGCACAACAGACGTGGCATTTTCTCGACACCCTGGAGGGTGCGCAGGGGGGTCGGTCTCCCAGGGACCAGGGTACTCAGGCTCCCAAGGCTTGACAGGCGCCACCAACGGGATCGGCGAATCAACGGACACCTGCATCTTTCTCGTCTCGCAATTTTCACGACGAGTACGAGTATCGTCGCGCCGGACATGTTATAAGTATGTGGGATTCCTGGGCAGCGTAATTCGCTATTTTTCGGCCTCCACGGGGCCTTATACCGGGCCTCGGGACCGTCAACAAAAAATATAGCTGGAGCGCAGTATCCCCAAACAGGGTTTTTAAACCTACTGCGGTTTCCAAGGTCGATTGCGTGCCCGTCCAGCGCGAGCGAACATAAGATGTGAGAACATCATAACCAGATGTTTTCACATGAGATGCTTACACGAAAACTTGTGTGACGCATGCCTATCAGGAAGCTAGCGCTAGAGGGTGTCGTACTCTCTCGCACCTGGTCGACGAGTAAGCAGTCGGGTCGGCACTGTCAGAGGCTCAGTTTTGCCGACATCTTGGAGCTCAGTATTGGAAGGATGTCTCAAACGAAACGGGCCAAACAACCTCTCGCACACGTTCTGACAAGTCCACGCCGCACCCGCTTCCCGTTAGGTCCTCTCCTGCAACTCCCTTCCTTCTCCCTCCTCTTCCTCCTCCTCCTCCTCCTCCTCCTCCTCCTCCTCCTCCTCCTCCTCCCCCTCCTCGAGGATCCTGCCTGCTCCCTCATCCACATCATCATCCTCCTTCTCCCTTCCATCTCCTCCTCCTTCTCCTCCTCCTCTTCCTCCACCTCCTCTTCATCTCGAATGGCATCTCGGAACCCAGAGTTGCGAGGATGTCTCCAGCGTAACGGGCTGGACCACCTCGCGCGCGGCATCTCGGACCCCAGAGGTGCGACGATGTCTCGGGCGAAACGTTCTGCGAAGAAGTCTCAGGGGAAACGGGCCGGACCACCTCAAGCGCGGCGTCTCAGAGCTCGGAGTTGCGGGGGCCTCCTGGGGCCTCCTGGGGTCTCCTGGGGACCTCCTGGGGCTTCTTCCTGGGCCTCCTGTGGCCTCCTGGACCCCACCTAGGGCTTCCTGAAGCCTCTTGGGCCTTCCAGGGGGGGATCTCTAACATGTGGCCGTGTGGGCTCCCCCCAAATGGGGGGGGGCACAAGAGCAGAAAAAATCAACGAATCGGCACCGGATGTGTATTAACTTGACACGTTCTGATAGGGGGCCTCCCGGGGCCTCCTGGGAGCCTCCTGGGAATCTCCTGGGGACCCCTGGAGCCTGTCCTCTGCAGCCTCCTGGGGCTCCCAGGGTCCCAGGGGGGATATGTAGCATGTGGTCTTCGGGGCCCCCAGGCTGGACCACCTCTTGCGCGGCATCTGGGAGGTCAGAGTTGCGAGAATGTCTTGTGCGAAATGGGCCAGACCACCTTGCGCACGGCATCTCAGAGCTCAGAGTTGCGAGGATGTCTCAGGCGAAACGGGCCAGACCACCTCGCGCAGGGCATCTCAGAGCTCAGAGTTGCGAGGATGTCTCAGGCGAAACGGGCTGGACAACGTCGCGCGCGGCATCTCCGAGGTCAGAGTTGCGAGGATGTCTTAGGCGAAATGGGCTGGACCACCTCTTGCGCGGCAGCTCAGAGCTCAGAGTTGCGAGGATGTCTCAGGCGAAACGGGCCGGGCCACCTCTCGCGCGGCATCTCGGAATGCAAAAGAGCGAGCATGTCTCAAGTGAAACGGGCCGGACCACCTCTTGCGCGGCATCTCGGAGCCAAGAGTTGATGTCTCAGGCGAAATGGGCTAGACCACCTCTTGCGCGGCATCTCGGAACTCAGAGTTGCGAGGATGTCTCAGGCGAAACGCGCTGGGCCACCTCGTGCACGGCATCTCAAAGCTTAGAGTTTGGAAGATGTCTCAGGCGATACGGGCCAGACCACCTCTCGCGCGGCATCTGGGAGCTCAGCGTTTGGAGGATGTCTGAGGCGAAACGGGCCGGACCACCTCTTGCGCGGCATCTGGGAACTCAGAGTTTGGAGGATGTCTCACGCGAAACGCCCAATCCCGGACAGCTCAGAAACGAGAGTTGCGAGGATGTCTCAGGCGAAACGGGCAGGACCAGCACATTTTTTTGAGGACGTCTCTGCTTTGAATTCCCCCGGCCGGAGTTAGCTTCTATCACAGAAGCACCCCGTTCAGCAAGGCATTTGGGGAATTCTACTGGATGAGAAACCGGTCCTGGGGAAGGGTATAAAAAATAGCAAGACGTCGAGGGTCTGGGTTTATAGTTGAAGCAGGCGGCGTAGGCACAGCCTTTCATTTGCGTGTACGCAGCTTTTCAAGACGATACTGGTGATACGGTCGGTGTGGCTCAGGATGCAGTCCAAGGTTGCTCAAGATTTTAACGGCCCTCGTTTCTGCAGCATGTGCAGGACGTTAGAAATTACGAAAAATGCTGGAAGCCTGGAAAATTCTGGAACGTATCATTAGCAGGACCTCTTGCTCCTCCGACTTCCTGCTGTTCGAACCTCTGCGGAGTCCGTGGCCAGCAGCCACGGGGTCTCCAGGCCGCCGGGGAGGCCCAGCTCCGCCTCCGCAGCCCGCGCGCAGCCCAGGAAGTGCTCCAGCTCCTCCGCGCCGTGCCTCGCGGGGTCCCAGGCGACGTCCCCCGTGCGCAGGTGCACCGCGACGAAGCGCCGGTCCTCGAGGCCGCCAAGCGCGGCCCTGAGGCGCCGCATCTCCTGCATGAGTGCCGGGGACTGCGCGAAGAGCGTGTCGAACACCTCCGCGACCAGGAACGGCGGCGCGCTCGCCGGCAGCGCCAGCTCCTCCGCCGCGCCGCGCAGCGCGGGGGCCTCGAAGAGCGACCGGATCATGCGGTAGTTCATCGAGATGACAAGCATGTTGTCCGGGTACGCCGCCAGCCGCTCGATGTCGGCCTGGAACTGGCGGCGCTTGTCGTGGTAGGACAGATGCCTGAGCGCTGCCGTCACTGGTGTGCCGCCGCGCACCCGCCAGTCGAGCGCGCGGGGCTCGAGCAGCAGCTGCAGCGGCACGGGGCTCTCGGAGTCCAGCAGGAACACCCTCCGCGTCAGCACGGCCAGGAAGAACGCGGTGACAATGCCGTTGAGACGGTCACCGTGCCCGCCGCACTGCGCAAAGGGCTGGCAGCTGTAGACCAGCACCGGCACGTCCGTGGATCCGTTGGACATGAGCTCCACGCCCCTCTGGTGGAAGTCGGCATAGGCCGCCAGCCGCGTCGCCAGCGGCACGCCGTCGGCGAAGGCCGCCCCGGCCGCGGCGGCGCTCTCCTGCGGCTCGCCGCCGCGCGCCGCGGCGGGAGGGGCGGCACCCTCCGAGGGGCGCCCGCCGGCGGTGGGCAGCCCCAGGAAAGCGGCCGCGTCGCGCACGACCCGCAGCCGCGCGCCCGGCACGGAGGCCGCGGCCTCGGCCAGGGGCGCCGCGCCGCCGCAGGCGCTCCCGTCGTCGGCCCGCAGGTCCATCAGCCACGCCTCGCAGCCCGGCCCCCACGCCGCCGCGGCCAGGGCCCAGGCGGTGTGCGCCACGGTGCGGGTGGCGGCATGCCGGCGCCACGCAGCGTGCGGCCTCTGCTCCGCGTCGCGGGGCGCGACGGTCCGCAGGATGCGCGTCGCGTGCGAGGGCCGCAGGCACCGCGCCTGCGCCGCGCCGCCGGAGTGGCAGCCGTAGCCGAGGGCCTCGAGCGCGGCCCCGCACACGTCCTCCAGGAACAGGACCCGCGGCCCCGCCAGCAGCTCCAGCAGCCTGTCGACCGTGTCCTCCGCGGTGCGGTTGGAGATCAGCACCACCGTCCCGAACGCCGCGCCCGGGTCGGCACCGCCCGCGGCGGCGGCGGCCCTCGGCGGCGGCGCGGGGTCCTGTGCCGGCGCGGGCCCCGGCAGGGCGAAGGGGTTCCACAGCAGCCCTGCCGCCGGGCTGTCGCTCGACCGCCGGTAGTCCATCGACAGCGCAAGGATCTGCAGCTGGTGCATCAGCCGGGCTGCCGGCGACATGAGGAATGTCAGCAGGCGGTCTGCGGCCTCCTGGAAGTCCTCGTGGAAGCTCTCGGCGGCCTCCTCTGCGAACTCCGGGCTGAGCAGCCGCCGCTCCAGTCCCCACCGCCGCAGCCGCGCGATGGCGTGCACGCTGGCGCGCACGGCCTCGGCCGTGCCGCCGTCGGCGCTCGCGGCCTCCAGGACGCTGCGCCCATGCCCGAGCAGAGTGTGGGCCACGCGGCCGCCCACGGAGCACCCCTCCTGGAACGTCGCGAGGTACTCGGGCACGCACTTCCTGCCGGGGTCCCGCCGCAGCACGTCCCAGTCGTTGTCCAGGAGGCCCTGATGCGCTCCCTGCAGGCCCACGGCCAGCATCGCCAGCGCCCGCTCGGAGGGCCCGTCCTGCGAGGCCATGGAGTACTCGGAGGCCTCGTCCTGCCGAAAGCAGTAGGCGCACAGCCCCGAGGTCACGAGGTGCTCCACCATCGCCTGCCCCTCCGAGGCCTGCGCGGCCACGAAGCGCGCCACGGCGAGCCGCGTCTGCAGCAGCTCCTCGCGCAGGGCGGCGCACTCTCCGTCCGCGTGGAAGGCCTCCGCGACTCCGCTGACGACGCTCTCCAGGGACGACAGCTGCTCCCTGTGGTGCTGCAGGGTGTGCTGCAGCCACGCATGGGCCCTCTGGGCGGGAAGAGCCCTGCAGCAGCTGGCACCAGCTACGAAGCCGGGGCACGCCAGGCCCTCTATCGGGCCGTGCAGCTCCTCCAGCCCCGCACTGGCTCCTGAGATTGGCAACCACATATGATGAACCCTTCCCCTGGCATGTCAACCCGGCTGGGGTTCAGGACTCGAAGGGAGCCTGCATCCCTGCGGAGGTTTCCAATTATCCAGCGTCGATTGGACCTGTAGGGGGAGGGTTCGCAAGGGCTCGCAGATGAGAGGGGGGCAGCGGGGGGGCAACGGCGCTGAGGGAAGGGAGCGCCGACCTGGAACCTGCGACACGTCGTCGACAAATCGGCCACGCGCCCCCCAGCAGCGAGAGCCCGCTGTCCCAGGCAAGCTGGGGGCCGAGGCTCCCATATCGGCGGCGAGCGCGCGATCGCCCCTCCCCCCCGTTTTTTGGCTGCGCCAGGCCGTGGACCCGTGTCACGTGGTCCGCTCCGGACACCCTTCACCAAAACACGCTGCCTCCTCGGGGGCGGCGATCCTGATTTCCGCCGGCTTCCGCCCGACGCCCGCCGCGGATGCCGCCACCGTGCTGTTTCCGTCGCCCTCCGCCGAGGAGGAGGAGGAGGAGGAGGAGGAGGAGGAGGAGGAGGAGGAGGAGGAGGAGGAGGAGGGGGAGGGGAGGAGGAGGAGGAGGAGGAGGAGGAGAGGGAGGGGAGGAGGAGGAGGGGAGGGGGATGAGGATGAGGAGGAGGAGGAGAGGGAAGGAGGAGGAGGAGGAGGAGAGGAGGAGGAGGAGGAGGAGGAGGAGAGGAGGAGGAGGAGGAGGAGGACGAAGAGCAGGAGGAAGGAGGAGGAGGAGGAGGAGGAGGAGGAGGAGGAGGAAGGAGGAAGGAGGAAGGAGGAAGGAGGAGGAGGAGGAGGAGGAGGGGGAGGACGAGGAGGGGGACGATATGGAGGCGAGAGGCCCTTTTCTGGAGCGCGCCACGTGGCTCCGTTGCTCTCGCCTCCCCCAGGGCCCCGACGCCATGACTTGCTCACAGCTCGGACCCTGGAGTCAGGTCAGGCGTGTCCCCCTACAGGCGGATTTTGGACGAACACTTGAAAATACCACAGAAATATCCAAAACAGACTCAGAATGATCTGGAAATCCTCCCCAGACTATTTTATTACTAACTATGTTTGAAGATTCCCCCTGTAGAGGGACAGGCCCGAATTCACCCTGGAGGTCTCGACCCACTCCCCGGGACCGGACTTTCGCCTCGAGCGCGCGCCCGCCGTGCCGTCCCGCGTCCCCCCTCCCCTGGCCATCGCTCGGACGTCCATTCCCTGTGTCTTTTTCGGTTTCGTGCGTGGTTTTTTCGCCCGATGATCAAGGATGCTCCTCGATGGTCCTCGCCGAAGGAAAAATGCACACGTCCGAGCGATGCCAAGCCTCTGCATCCAGACAGTTCGCGAGTCGTGTCCCCGACGGCCCCTGCGAGCGCCCGTCCCGTGCGGATTGCCACTGCCGTGCTGCGACGGAATACAGTCGGGGCCTTGACCTAAGGAGCCCAAAATAAGGAACGAGGCCCCTCTTTTCCATAAGTTAACCTTCGATTTCCGATCAAAAACAGAAGGAAAACCTGAGGCAAGCTGCGAAACACTTAAGGAACGCGGAGCCCCTCCCCAACGAAAAGGGTTCCTTCTTCAGGGCCCCGACTGTAAAGTTGAACTGTCCCGGGGCCGGGCGAAGGCTCCCAGAGACCGAAAATGGCAGCAGCAACAGCAACAACAATCATTTTAAGACTGATCGCTCTTATCTGCTCGCGTGCCATTCATCACGTGTATCCCAAGCCCTCGATGCCCGCCCTATTTGTCTTCGGTCGTACCCCTTTGGGGCATATCTTCCTTACCTGCAAAGTGCATTTCGTGCAGCCCCTTAGGCAGGGGAAGAAAGGACGGATGAAAGGATGGACGGATGGAAGAAAGGAAGAATGGAAGGAAGGGCCAAGGAAGAATGGAAGGAAGGGACAAAGGGAAAGGATAATGATGAAGCACGAGAGAGAGAGAGAGAGAGAGAGTAGCAGAAGGGGGGCTAGGAAATGGGAGCAGAAAACAAGTGGAAGAAGCAGACGGGCAGATTGGGCGGAGAGGCCCTAACGGGCGGGTCGGGAAGGCGGGTCCAGGCGGCCAGGTCGAGCAAGCGGGCTGCTGAAGCGTGGGTCCTGCATGAACCGTGAGGAGATCTCGAGCGATAGCGCGATCTGCAACGGGGCCACGTAGGACAGCGAGGGGGCAACGAAGGAATGGGGCCACGACGGGTAGTGAGGGGGCCACGAAGGGCTGCAACGGGGCCACGAAGGCCAGCGAGGGGGCCACGGAGGGCTGCGACGAAGGGCAGCGAGGAGGCCACGAAGGGTTGCAACGGGGCCACGAAGGGCTGCAACGGGGCCACGAAGGGCTGCAACAGGGCCAGGAAGGCCAGCGAGAGGGCCACGAAGGGCTGCAACGGGGCCACGAAGTGCAGCGAGCAGGCCACGAAGGGCTGCAACAGGGCCCCGAAGCGCAGCGAGGGGGCCACGAAGGGCTGCAACGGGGCCACGAAGAGCAGCGAGGGGGCCACGAAGGGCCGCAACGGGGCCACGAAGGGCAGCGAGGTCCCGATTCCTGAATGAGCTGGGAGGGAGTCCTAGGCGTGAGCGCGACTCGTGGGTGGCTGAGTGTTGGGAGTGTGGCGCTTGAGCAACTTGCGGGAAGTTCCAACGCAAAAGCGCGATTCTGGAATAATTTGCAAGCAAGTCTCCAGCGAGGGCGAGACTCCAGAGCGCCGAGATAGCGATTTCTGTATACATTGTGAGGAAGTTCCAAGCAAGAGCGCGATTCTTGAGTAGAATGGGAAGACATCTCAAGCGGGAACGGGGGTCCTTGCTAAACTGTGAGAGATTATCAGGCGGGAACCGTTATTGTTGTACGCCGTGGGCCAAGGGTACAATTTGACCCTCGTACTTTCCGTGGCCCTCCGCCGCTTTTCTTTCACGACCCCACGGGGTCGGGGTCAAGACAGGACAGGCACGTGCTGTCGGCACGGGTGGAGAGGGGGTTACAGGAGGGAGGAGAAGGAGGGGGAGGAGGACAAGCACGGTGCGCTCGCGTCATATCTGACGTCCTACCCCTTCCTCCCATCCCTTGCCATGGCGTAGATCTCCTCTTTATTCGCACAATCGGCTGTGGTAGCATGGCATAGCATTACATGGCACACCATGGTGTTGAAGATTACAGCGTATCATGACATAGCATGACATAGATGACCGCGGCCCAAACAATCAACGAATCGACACCGAATGTGGAATCACTTCCGATGGTTTCTTCGGGGAGCATTTTCTAAACTTTAGGGCCTCTTTGGAAGGACCGACAGACATGCCGTGGCATGGCACTGGAAATAATAACGCCAACGCTGCAGCGGGAGCACGATTCGGAACGAGCGGAAGCGCGGAAATGAGGCCAGCGCTGCAGCGGGAGCACGATTCGGAACAAGCGGTAGCCCGAAAATGAAGCCAGCGCTTCAGCGAGAACAACATTTTGAACAAAAGCCCAAGCGCGGAAACGCGGAAATGAGGACGCGTAGCCTGACATAGCATGGCGTGGCGACGGCCCAAAGTGGGGCTTCTGCGGCCCAAAAAGTCAACGAATCGACACCGAATGTAGAATCGCTTCCGATGGTTTCTTGGGGGGGGCATTTTCTAAATTTTGGGGCCTCTTTGGAAGGACCGACAGACATGCCGTGGCATGGCGCTGGAAGTAATGACGCCACCGCTGCAGCGGGAGCACGATTCGGAACGAGCGGAAGCGCGGAAATGAGGCCAGCGCTGCAGCGGGAGCACGATTCGGAACGAGCGGTAGCCGGGTAGCCGGAAAATGAGGCCAGCGCTTCAGCGAGAGCAGCATTTTGAAAACAAGCAAGCGAAAATCTAACTTCCGGGAATCCTGTGTGCAAGCAACTATAGTACGCGGAGGGGGGCCGAACAATCCCTGGACGCCACCAGGGAAGAGAGGAGAGTAGTACTGATATTATTTCACTGTGGATGATTTGGACGCCCGAAATGGGTACGGAAAGAATGGGTACAATGCCCAACAACAAATGTTGTCCAAAAAACCAGCAGCGGCCGCTGTTGGGCAGGCGGCCTTCTGTCTCGAATGTGCACAGGCCGCGGCGGCGTGGACAGCGAATCCTGCCCAGCATGAACAGGAACTGCTCTTGGGCATAGTATTGTACCCATTCTTTCCGTGCCCATGTCGGGCGTCCAGAGATGAGGGGGTAATGTGGGATGAGGATTAAGAAAAAAAGGAGCGGGGAACGATTTAAAAAATAGTTTCCCACACCGGGGGGGAACGCTCAGAAGCAGGGCTCGCCTGTGCGGTGTTTCGTCACCGGGGGGGGCGCGCGCCCGAGGACGGCGGGGGGGGGACGGTTAAAAAAATAGTTTCCCAGCCCGGGGCCGGATTTTTCTAATCGTCATCCCGGGCGCCGCCGCGTGAACACGACCCCCGGTCATTTTTTAATCATCATCCTCCATGAGAGGAGGGGGGAGGGGGATGCGCAAGCTCCGTCCGAAGCATATCGCCAAACCCTCGATGCATACCGCCAAACCCTCGAAGCATATCGCCAAACCCTCGTCCGCTTCGTCGCCCAACCCTCGATGCATATCCCACCCACGGCAGCGCTATCGGCAGCTCGTCCCCCGCCCTCTGAACCCCGGGCGCTCCGCACTCGCCGATGCACCGCCGATGCACCGGCGATGCAGCGGCGATGCACTAGCGACGTCGGCGATGCATCGGCGGCGTCGGCGTGGGAAAACCGGGGGCCCGCATCGAGCCGCATCGCCGATGCATCGGCGATGCGACCCTCCGACCCCACCTTCTCGGACCCCACCCAGAAGGCCTAGATTGTCCTCCTCCGAAGTAGGAAGTAGGTAGAACAAATGAAAAAGGAAGGCGTTGAGAATAGATTGGGTGTCCGCCCGGCCCCCGCAGAGAACGGCAAAGGCGAACCCACTCCGATCATTGAAGTAGGAAGGTACCTAAAGTAGATGGGAACCTGGGAATCCCAAATACCTACGTAGCACCCCGCAATTGCGGATAAGAGTGAGGGGGCGGGCGCGGGCGACGCGGGCGTCGTCGAGCCGGCGGACCTCGTGACCCCCACCTTCCCTGTCGATGGCGCTGTCCTCCTCCTCCTCCTCCTCCTCCTCCTCCTCCTCCTCCTCCTCTTCCTTGTCCTCGTCCTCATCGTCATCGTCATCCTCCTCCTCCACCTCGTCCTCCTCCTCCTCCTCCTCCTCTTCCTCGTCCTCCCTCTCCCCCCCCTCGTCCTTTCATCATCGTCCTCCCATTGTCGTCCTCCCCCTCATCGGCCTCCATCATCGTCATCCCATTGTCGTCCATCATCATCACCATCATCATCATCATCACCATCACCATCACCATCACCATCATCATCATCATCATCATCATCATCATCATCATCATCATCATCATCATCGTCATCATCATCATCATCATCCCCCGCCTCATCCCCCGCCTCCCCCTCCTCGTCGTCCTCCTCCTCCCCCTCCTCCCCCTCCTCGTCCTCCTGCTCCTCCTCCTTTTCTTTCTCCACATTATCCTTACATCCTCTCTTCTTCCGCGTTCTCCTCGTCCCCTGTTTACTCCTCCTGCCTCCCCCTCCTTTCCCAAGATAACTGCAACGCAATCCTTTTTTCCACTTTATGATCCCCGCCTTCTTTGATTAAGGCAACTCGCCAGGGCAGAGTTGCTGGACGGGCTGGTGTGGATGCGCGGGGCTTGAAGAGGTCCTTGCGGGCTCAGGCGGCATGCAAAAGTCCGCCGCCGCGCTTGTGCGGCATTGGTTTGTTCAGTGAACGTGGTTTATGTCGCGGGTGGGTCGCGGGCTCTCCACCTCCACCTGGAAGGAATGCAAAAGCAGCCCGCCGCAGGCGCCCAAAAAATTGGTTTGTACACTGAACGTGGTTTGGGTCGCGGGTGGGCCGCGGGTTCTCCACCGGGAACGAATGCAAAAGATGCCCGCCGCAGGCGCCGAACAATGTGGTTTGTACCCTGAACGTGGTCGCGGGTGGGCCGCGGGCTCTCCACCTGAAACGAATGCAAAAGATGCCCGCCGCAGGCGCCGAAAAATGTGGTTTGTACCCTGAACGTGGTTTGGGTCGCGGGTTGGTCGCGAGTTGGTCACGGGGAAAGCCCCGCCGCAGGCGCCGAAAATGTGGTTTGTACCTTGAACGTGGTTTGGGTCGAAGGTGGGGTCGCGGGTGGGTCGCGGGGTAGGTCGCGGGTGGGTGCGGGTCGCGGGTGGGTCGCGGGGGTGGCGGGTCGCCGGGTGGGTCGCGGGTGGGTCGCGGGGTGGGTCGGGGTGGGTCGCGGGTGGGGCGGGGTGGGTCGCGGGGGGTCGCGGTGGGCGCGGGTGGGTCGCGGGTGGGTCGCGGGGTGGGTCGCGGGGTGGGTCGCGGGGCGGGGGTTTGCGGGTGGGGACGACGACGAACAACAACAACAACAAACAACGAACACGACAAACAACAACAACAACCAACAACAAGAACGAGAATCCGCACCGCGGAATTTCCACATCAGCCACGCACCCAGGGACAGTGAATGACCGTTCGGCCCCCTCACTCTGACCTTGAACGTGGTTTGGGTCGAAGGGTGGGTCGCGCGGGTGGGTCGCGGGGTAGGTCGCGGGTGGGTCGCGGGTGGGTCGCGGGTGGGTCGCGGGTGGGTCGCGGGTGGGTCGCGGGGTGGGCCGCGGGGGGGTCGCGGGGTGGGTCGCGGGTTGGGTCGCGGGGTGGGTCGCGGGGTGGGTCGCGGGGTGGGTCGCGGGGTGGGTCGCGGGTGGGTCGCGGGTGGGTCGCGGGGTGGGTCGCGGGGTGGGTCGCGGGTGGGTCGCGGGGCGGGTTGCGGGTGGGACGACGACAACAAACAACAACAACAACAACAAACAACAACAAACAACAACAACAACAACAACAACAAACAACCAACAACAACAACGAGAATCCGCACCGCGGAATTCCAGTTCAGCCACGCACCCAGGGACAGTGAATGACCGTTCGGCCCCCTCACTCTGACTTTCAACGGCCGATGGGTAGCGCTACCCAGACATGCGACGTCCTGATTTTTCCAGGACGGCGCCCCTGAAAGTCCCGACCCTTTCCCTGGGACCGGTTTTTCGTCCTGAGCCGTTTTTTGACGGTCCCGAGGCCCGGCGAGGGCCCCCCGGGCCCGAACATAGCCCAAAACCTCCCGTCGTCCTGCTTTCTTTGTTTTTTGTTGCGACGCGAGCATGTCTGGGTGGTCCTCCCCCGACTTCTGGACCCCGCGGGCGCTCCGCACCCGCCGCCGCCGCCGCCCGCGGCGGGGGCGCGCACGAGCGCCAGGCCCAGCAGCGCCGCCCGCGCGAGGCAGCGCCGCCGCGGGCTGCGGGGCAGCGCCGCCGACGCCATCGCGGCGGCCGGCGCCGGCGCGCGCCCGTGGGGCGCCGCGCCCGGGGCTCCGCGCAGCTCGGCGGCGGCGGCCGCGCGTCGTTGAAAGCTCGCGGCGCCCCCCCCCCCCCCCCACACAAAAACGAATCCAGAAATAACTTCGCGTCGTATAAAGAATCTCGCGTCGTTAAAAACTCGCGTCGTATAAAAAAAAACTCGCGTCCCCCCCCCCCCCAAAAAAAAAACAATCCAGACATAAGCTCGCGCCGTTTTTCAACAAATCGGGGCGGGAGGCTTTTCCCAGTGTTCGGCCCCTGGGGGCCCTCGCCGGGCCCCGGGGGCTGTCAAGAAACGGCTCGGGAGGAAAAGCTAGTCCTGGGGAAAGGGTCGGGGCTTCCTGGGACGCCATCCTGAAACAATGAAGACGTCGCGTGTCTGGGATACCTGGAATGGCACACGGAGCAAGGCGCGGACCACGATCTCCGAATTGGAATCCAGCCTAAACACCCAGACAGGATCGCGTGGTAACAAAAATCAGAATGGGAGGTTTTTGGCTATGTTCGGGCCCGGGGGGCCCTCGCTGGGCCTCGGGACCGTCAAAAAACGGCTCAGGACGAAAACCGGTCCCAGGGAAAGGGTCGGGACTTTCAGGGGCGCCGTCCTGAAAAAGTCAGGGCGTCGCATGTCTGGGATGGCATCGGCGATAGGGCTGCGCTTGCAGAATCGCGCGCTCCTGGGCGGGGTGAGGGCCATCGGGGCCCCGTCGACGAGCCATGGGGATTGGGGGTCGATGCGTCCACCCCGTGCCCTCTACAGGGCAGTTTTCAATACATGGGATGTTTTTTATATAAAAAAGAAAAGAATGTGTTTTTCTAATACATGGCTAATTTATGAAAGGATTTATGCATGAACTCCTCGTTGTTTTTGATACTAATCCCCTGCATGTTCAATACATGATCCGCACGCGGAGCACGTATTAGAAACGGCACTGTACGGTCACGAGCGTTTGCGACACGTGGCGCCGCGGCGGCCCCCGGCGACACGCCATGTTCTGCAAGCGAACAGCGTGTCGCTCCCCTCCGCGGGGCGAGAGGCGGGGAAACGCTCCGGACGTGGACGCCTGGGACCGAGGAAGCGGCTAGCGCGTCGCGCCGAAGCGCGGTGGGCCAGAGCCGGCGGAGCGACACGCCAACAGTTCCCGACCGCAGCACCCGAGAGGAGAAGAGGCATGGAACCACAAGGTACCGACAGATACTCCACGGGCCTCTCCCAGGGTGCATTCTGACCAGAAGCTCGAAGCGAATCCAGCGGTGGCGACGAGGGCCGCCCAGAAGGCAAGCGAGGGAAGCGAGGCAAGGTTAGCAGTACGGGTACCCTTTTCCTCCTTCGAGAGGAGGCCGGGTCCTGGTCCCAGGCCGAGCTGGAGCAATTTTCCGCGCCCAGGTGCTTCTGCAGCGCGCACTCCGCCGCGGAGAGGCACCCTGGCTCGCTGGCTGGAGGCCCCCCCTTCCCCCCTCGCGCCCTTGCGGGCGTGTGACTCGGGCCCTCGCCCTCCTCGCCGTGCTCGTCCTCGTCCTCCTCCCTCTTCCTTCTCCTCCTCACCCCGATCCCATCTCCCTCCTCCTCCCTTCTCCTCCCTCCCCCCTCTCCTCGTCCCTCCTCCCCCCCCCCCGTCGTTGTGGTCGTGTTGCGTGCTGCTCTGCTCGGATTTCTTTCCCCTCAGCAGTGATCCACACCACCCTTCCCTCCGCCTATTCTTCCTTCTCGTCCTCCACCTCCACCTCCACCTCCTCCTCCTCCCCCTCCTCCTCCCAACCTCCTCCTCCTCCTCCTCCTCCTCCTCCTCCTCCTCCTCCTCCTCCTCCTCCTCCTCCCCTTCCTCCTCCTCCCCATCAATTTTTGATATAGATAACTCATCCCTGGCGCACCCCGAGGCCTGTCGGAAGAGCGGGCCGTGCGTTTCGCCTGAGATGTCCTACCATCGATCCTGAAGCTAAGAGATTGGTAAGAGCTTCGCGGATTGAGGGCGGGTGATTTCCAAAATGTGGCTCGCGTCTTTGCGCCGCGCACCATCGTCTTAAACAATTGCAGCCGTTTCGCGGATTGAGGGTGGGTCGTTTTGAAAACGTGGCTCTCGTCGTAAAGCCGCACACATTCGTTAAACAATAACAAGTTTCACTGGTTGAAGGCGGGCCACTTTCAAACTGTGGATCTCGCCTGAGCGCCGCGCATATTTGCTTTCCTCGTATATAAGAAAGGGTAACATATTGAGGGAGACTCCTATTCAAAAAGTGGCTCTCGCCTCAGCGCCACGCACATTCGTTAAAATGAATTGTAAGAGTTTCACACCTTCCCATAGTTGACGTACCAGAAACGGCGGTGTGGAAGGAATCTGCATTGTCAGGGCGCAGCAATTACGTGGACTCGCGGAGGTGACGTCCGAGGTACGGTGTTCTGGCACGATTCAGGATCTTCAAAACGCAACAGTCATGTTGATTCGTGGCGCTGTAGTCCTGAAAAAACTGTGTCTTTGCACGTTTGATGATCTTGAAACGCTTGTCTCCCAACGGCGCACTTCCCTCAGTGGAAATGAATCCCTGCAGGGTCCTCTGAAGACGGAGAGCCCGGAGGGAGGGTTTGTCCCAACATCGTTGATGAGTCTTGGGTTTGCCCTGGTCCTCCTCCTCCTCCTCCTCCTCCTCCTCCTCCTCCTCCTCCTCCTCCTCCCTCTCCCTCGGCCTCCTCCCGCCTGCCTCTTAGGCCGTGCAGCGCCGCCGCCGCGCTGCCAGTGCACACGCTCGCTCGCTCCTCGCCACCCGTGCCCGGGCAGCCCGCGGCACGGCCCGCGGCGCCGCCCCGCTATACGACAGCGAACCCCCCCCGGGAGGCGCAGGGTGTGCTGGCGCCCAGGGGGCCCGGGGCAGCCCCGACGCGCTCCGAGTGCAGGGGCCGCTCGGCCTCTGGGCGGCGCGCCGGCCCTGGCCCGCCGACTGCCCTAATTACGTCTCCCCAGGCCGCCTCTCCGGAGGGCGCCGTGGCCGAGGCAGCACCGGTCCCGGGCCCAGGCCCCGCCTGGGCCCAAGGTCAGCACCTCACCTCCTCCTGGCTTCGGCAAGGGGGGCACGTGCACCGCTGCCGGGTCCAGGCCAGGCCTGGGCCCAATTGGTCGGCGCGCCACGCCCTCCTGCTCTCGGCCATGGGGGCCACGAGCACCGGGGCAGTCTCCAGGCCCGGCCTGGGACCAGGGTCGGTGCACAGCGCCCCCTCAGCTGCGGCCAGGACGGCACGTGTAACGCCCCCCCTATCTCGGCCAGGGCCAACGGCCGTTGCATCACGCCCCCATGGCTCCGGCAGGAGGGCACACACACACACACACACTGAACCTGGGTCCAGGCCTGGCCAGGGCCCACGCTCGGTGCATCTCGCCACCCTGGCTTCGGCAGGAGGGCAGATACGCCGTCCTCGGTCCAGGCATGGATCGGAGCAGGTGCACAGCTGGAGCCACACCGAACGGCAGGCACCGCGGTGAGGCGTCGGGCTTGCGGCCAGAGCGACGCGCGCGCCCCCGCGGCGGGTCGAGGCCCCCACGGCCCGCTCCGCGGAGACAGGGCTCGCCTCGGCTGCGCGCGCTCCCTCGGCGTCGAACAATGAGCGCTGCACGAGACGCGCGGCGTGTGTGCAGTGGCAGCCTGCCTGCCACCCCGCGAGTGATTCGGCGGCACGCTCGGCCACCCCCCACTCGAGGGAGGTGACAGACCGCGCGGCGACCTCGAACCCCCACGGGACCTCACCGCACGGTCCGTCACCGCAGGGTCTGGGGACCCTGGAGGCCCCACTCGTCCGAGACGTCCCAGGAGAGCGACCCGAATCCCAGGACCATGCGGTCACCCTGGATGATGCCCCATGGACTCACCAAGACGGCCTCCTCCGAATGTTTGTTGCCCGTGCCGCGACTCGAATCGTAGACGGACGATCGGGACGACCTGGGCAGCCTCAGAATGCCGTTGACTCGGCGCTGCTGCTGGGACGCACCCCGAGGCACGACTCTTGGGGCCCTTCTTCGGGCCTCGTGGGGCCTCTTGGGGGCGTCGTGGGACGTCTTGGGGCGCTCTTGCGCCTTTTGGCCCTGTGGAGGCCGTCCTGTGGGCCTCTCGCGGCCGCCTTGTGGCTCTCTTTGGGTCCTCTGGGGCCGTCTTCAAGGCCTCTGGGACCGTCCTGGGGGTCTCTGTGGGCCATCTTGGGGCCCCCAGGGGCTGTCTTGGGGCCCTCTTGGGGGCTTCTTGGGCCGTCTTGGGGCCATTGTGGAACCGCCGAGAGCGCCCGCAAACTGCCAGAAACCATGCGGCGACCACGAATCGCACTTGGACTCACCACATGGTGATGTGCGAACTCTCCACCACCACTACCATAGATAGGACTAGGTCGGGCATGTCCCCCTACAGGAAGATTTTGGACAAAAACTAAAAAGCAGAAATGAATGACACTCGAGAAAAACCCAATCAGGGCTATAGGGCTATAGGGCTATAGGGCTACTGAGCTATAGGACTACATAGAGCTATAGGGCTATAGAGTCGTAGGACTATAGGGCTACTGGGCTATAAGCTATAGGGCAAACCCGGGCACCCTCCTGCAACACGAGATCGACACGAAAACGGCCCACGACCTCGCCAACACACACTCGTCAGGTCGACCCCCGGCCCGGGCCGGGGTGGAACCCGCGCGGCCTGCACCTGCAAGCGTCGACCCCGGCACCCTTGACTCACTGCTTCGGGCGTGGCGGGCGGCGGCCGCCAGCGCCCGGGCAGCCACGCCCCGGCTGGCGGCCCGGCCGGGGGGAGCGAGAAGGGAAGGGTGGAGAAGCAGCTCTCCTGGCTGGCTTTCCTGGCGCCAGCCGGCGCCAGGAGGCGCCCATGCATCGAGCAGTGGGCCTGGCGGCGGGGCGGAAACCAGCTGCATGCCACAGATGTCGAACACCGCCCTTTCCATATCCTGCCTCTTCGTCTGGCCCGACCTGGGCAACTGCGCGATCCGCTGCCACGTCAGGCGCGCAAAAGACGCCGGGCTGCCCCCAGCGCGGCGACCCCAGCACCCAGAACATGACTGAACTGAAGGTCGACACATCTGACAAGGAATCCTGTTCTAAGAAATGTCGGCGCGCCGTTCGTTCTCGACGCGCCCAAGTGGACGACGCAGGCACCACCACAAACACACGGCGAACCCACCGCGTCCGAGGCGGCGTTTGCCCTGGAGGCCGCGGCGCCGCCCTCCCCAAGACGTAAGGCCGCGCGTCGGAACAAACGGCGCGGCGACACAGATTGGGGCACACTCTGCGCCGATCTTTGAGGGTCCGGAGGTGCCGCAGAGGATCTGTGGATCCCTGCGGCCATCGGCAGGGCACCTGCTCGCAGGCCGATCTCCTCTGGACGGGCCCACAACAGGTCGACACTTCTGGGCAGCGCCCCTGTGCAGTGGCCGACTCTGCGGCTCCGCCGAATGGGGCACCGCTTCTGCTCCCCGCCTGCGCGTCGGATGCGAGGGCAGCGGGCGCCACGCCAGCGGGCACCGGTGCGTGGCGACATTCGCTGGTTCCGCGTGCGCCTCGGTGGCCTCGCTACCTGGGGCACGGAAGCATGTCCTTTCCTAGCGCGCCTCTGTGGACAGGTCTCCAGGTCTCCAACTGGCCATCGCTCGGACGTCCATTTCCTGTTTTTTTTGTGGTTTCGTGCGTGGTTTTCTCGCCAAATGATCAAGGATGCTTCTCGATGATCCTCGCCGAAGGAAAAATGCACACGTCCAAGCGATGCCAAGCTAAGGGCGAGCAGGTGGCACGTACAGTGAGGGCATGGGATAAGGAATTATTGGATAAGGAATCCAGGGCCTACGGTCGGGGACTTTTGGTTCGCGTGTCGCGGCGACGGCCCCAGCGACCCGCGATGCTCTGCAAGTGGATCACGAGTCGCTCCGCTCCACGGGGCGGGGGGCCAGGAGCAGCTCGGGACGCTGATGTCCCGGGACCGGGAAGTGGATGATTTGGACGCCCGACATGGGCACGGAAAGAATGGGCGCTATGCCCAACAACCAATGTTGCCCCAAACCAACAGCGGCCGCGGTTGGGCGGGCGGCCTCCTGCCTCGAATGGACACAGGCCGCGGCGGCGTGGACAGCGGATCTGGTTCAAAATGAACAAGATCCGCTGCTGGGCATAGTACCCACTCTTTCAGCACCCATTCCGGGCGTCCAGAGATCACGCGTCGCGCCGCCGCATGGTGGGCCACAGCCGGCGGAGCGACGCGGCACCCAAAAGCTCCGGACCGTGGAGCCCGAGGAACTCCGATCGTGGAGTGGCCGTCGACGCCGCCCGCATCAGATAAGGAGTCCTCTGGGCGCTGGAGCCTCCCTGGGGAAACAAGAACAGGTAGTGATACTGCTACTCCCCGGACCACAATCGGGGTGCGTTCTGACCAGAATATCGAAGCGAATCCAACGCTGGCGACGTGGGTCTCCCAGGAGGCCCAAGATGAGGAAAACGAGGGAAGGGGCAGCGGTACGGGTGCCCTTTCCTCTTCTGGCTCCTGGGCGCATTCCTTTGGCTCCTGGCCCACCAGCAGCCAAGATAGCAGTGGCGCCAGCTCTCACCACTGCCCCCCAGGGGGCAGCACCCGCGCAGGCCTCTCACGCTCTCCGACCACAGCAGGCCTTCGCACAGGCACGCGGTGGCCCACAGAGAACGGCGGCATGCACCGGGTGGGCCTGTGCCCTCGCCATGACAGGATACGGATATACGCCAGGACTACACTGGGGGGAGGAGAGAACCCTTCTCCAAATCGCCGCCCTGCTCCTCCTCCTCCTCCTCCTCCTCCTTCTCCTCCTCCTCCTTTTCCTCCAGCTCGTTCTCCTCCCTGCCATAGGGGGACGTCTTTGACGTTGCACGGACATGGATCTGGGATCGTTGCGTTCTGGGTGTGCAAACAAATGTACCGAAAGCTGGCTTAGGCCGATAGCAAAATACCTTCGCCTATCGGGCGCAGCAGAAATGGCAATGCAGAGGAAATCGAGAAAAGGAAGAGGGCCCTACAGGGCATAGAGATATAGAGGAACGATCTCTCCTCCTCCACCTCCAGCTCCTCATCCTCTCCGCCTCCCGCCCTCTCCGTGCAGATTGCTTTCTTGCCCAACTGGAAGTCGAGAGTTGATATTGTTTGAGGTGTCTCTCCGCTTCGAGCGTTTCCGTCGTTCCAACATGGTGTTCCCGATGCAGCGTGGGCCTTCTTTAGGATCGCGCCTTCGCTCCAACCGTTCAGAATGACGCTCTCGCCCCAGCGCGAGCCTCTTTTCTAGATCCGAGTCTGTTCTCATCGTTGTCGCCCACATCCTTTCCCCTCCTCCGCCTTCTCCTGGTTCTCCTGCTCCCCCCGCTCCATCCACTCCAATTCCAGCTGCTGCTGTTCGTCCTCATCCTCCTGCTCATTCGCCTCCTCCTCCCACTCCTTCCGTGAACGCAGCTTCCCTTTTTCTCCCGACTGCCCATGACACGCTGGGGTCTATGGGCCAGTTCCAGGTCCGCTATAGCACGCGTCCTCGGAGGAAGGACACGTCAGCGCAGTGGGGAGGGATTGGGTGGGAGGGGGCAGGATCTCAGGCACGACGCGAACGCACCTGACTTGACGTTGCGTCTCTCCCGCTCCCTCCTCCATCCCCCTGCACGCGCCCCCTCCCCCCCCTCCCCTCCCGGCCCCTGCTTGCCCCACTCGACGGCCGCAGGGCCCGAGGTATACCAAGGGCACAGTCGCAGGAACACGCGAGGCAGATCGAAAGCCTCCTCCTCCTGCTCCTCCTCCTCCTCCTCCTCCTCCTCCTCCTCCTCCTCTTCGTCCACCTCCTCTTCGTCCTCCTCCTTCCCCCCTCCAACTTCTGGTGGTGGTGGTGGAAAACGAGCGCATCAGGAATTGCCTGAGGCAGCTGGATATGATTGGCCACCGCCGCCCGGGGTGCAAGAGAACCGGCTCCCCAGGCGGCGGACATGTCCAATTGCCAGCCCCGGACCTGGGGGGGGGGGCAAACAATTACCGCTGCTCTCCTGGTCTCCCCCAGGGACGTGTTGGAACTGTTTCGCGTGCATCTGAACACACACTCACCATAAGTCGTGCCTGCGACCGTAGATCCCCGATGGCTCTGCCTCCCAAGCCAACTCGGGCACAGATCGGAGCGTCTGCTACTGCGGCTGGGCGCCATCACTGTCTCGATCGTACGTGTTGAAGCAGGCGCCAGGCAAGCAGTCGCACGCCACCTCGGATGGACGGAAGCCTGCTCGGCTCACGATCGGCGTGACCGGAGCACGATCGGCAGGGACTTCGTGCAGAAGTGATAGACGTCTGCGCCATCTTCTGATTCGACGACAGCGGTCTCACACATGCCGCTCGCTTGCTACTGTGGCGCTCTGAAGCAAATACTTGGACGCTGAATCTCAATTTTTGTTGCGTTTCTTGGTCGCGGGCTGCTCATAAGAGTAATGTGCTGGCGGAGCTGCAATGTGTTTCACAGCATTGGACGCAGCGATAGCGATAGTCACTGCATCTATTTGGGCCTGCTCTCTGGAGCACAGTCTTGACTGGACATGTCAGTGGGCAATACATCTCGCGTCGGCAAATCAATGCATCTAACAGTATGGTGGTGCGCCGTGTGCGTCCCGGATTAGATCTGCCAAACGCGCTGCGACGACGACGACGACGTGCTGCACAGGACTAGCCTGGTCCTGTCTCAAGAGTTCTCACAATACACGCCGACGCTCCAACACCCCCGTGAACCAGAGGCCGCATGCGGGGCTGGTCCTGGTCGCGTCGACGGGAGCGCTGGCTGCCGAGAGGCGCTGCAAAGGCAACGATGCTCGGCTCAGGTGTGAAAAAAACTGTGCTCGGCTCAAAAGTGATGGTTGCCGTTGCCGCGCGCGATTGCACGTCTTTTTCACTTGAACCGAGCATCGTTGCCACTGCATCGCGTGATCGCACCGCGCAAACCGTCCAACACCGACCGATTTCCAAAACATCCTGTAGCGGGGATCTTCCGAGGCCAGCCCGCCTGACGCCACCAGTGGCTTGCACCAGTGCCGCCTCGGCGAGGCGCGAACCCGAGCGGCCCTACCGTGCATAGCCCCACTGCCGAGGACTGGCCACGCGCAGAAGGGGGTAGGGGGAGGGGGAAGGCTTCTTAGAAGCACCCCTGCTTCTTAGAAGGCGCGGGCCTTCTTTGTAGATGTAAGGCAGGCGCCTTCTAAGAAACAGCCTCCTTCTAAGAAGCCTTCCCCCCTTCCCCTACCCCCGTGTGCGCACCGCCAAGAGGAGCCCTGCGCCCCTCGGGCCGGACGAAGACAGGCTAGGCGGGGACGGTGCATGGGGGGGCTCGCGGATCAGCTCGCGCACAGGCTATCCCCGCGCCCCCCCACACCGCCGAGAGGGAGGCGCCAAGGTGTGTCGAGGACAGCGCCCAGCGTTGGGGCCGAGGCCAGCTGCACGCAGCAGTCCCGCCCCCCCCCTTCCCAATTAAAGGGGCCCCAGGACACACAGAGAAATACACACACACACATAAAACAAATATCCCCCATAGTTTCCTATAGTTTGGGTTTTTTTTGTCTTTCTTCCCCCCCGCTTCCCATATTTTCCCATATTTTCTTGGGAATCGACGATGAATTGTGTCTGTGTGTTTTTTCCCCTCCTGACTAATCCCCCCCGCGCCGGCCGACCCGAGGCCACCCGAAGCCAGCCAGGGCCCGTCGCTCGCCGCTGGGAGGCGCGCCCCGGGGGCCAGCGTCGGCTCCGGCGTCGCCTCGGCAGAGGGCACGTCGCTCACCGACCTCAGCTCGGTGCGGCGGTGGGGCAGAGCGGGGCCCAGGCTCTGCTTCCCTGGAGCAGGGGGGGGGTCAGTCTCTCTCCCCTCGGCAGCGCCGTCATTTGGCTCCTCCAGCCATGCCGCAATCACCCGGGCGGCCGGCTCTGAAGCACCCCACTACCCAACTCAGACACGGAGTCGGCGTTTACAAGATAGCGAGCGACACCATATGATGCTTATCAACATCACTTCAACGACCGTCACACAGAACGACTCCGTCTCGTTATGCATCATACAGAACGCTACGTACCTACTATGCGTTTTCGATGTCATCGTGCATGTGCCTGCGTGGTTGAACATGTAGGAGATCATCAAATATAAAGCTGTACAGTCGTATATCCGCATGTAAAGTATTGCCCCACCGCAGCACAACGCGTTACGCAGCACGTCACGCTGGAACAGTTGTTGGCCGCGTGGGCAAACGTTACTCCAGCGCTTCTGCGCCATCCTCCATCACAAGCACAGCAGACGTGGGAACACACATGCTTCAAGTGCCGCCCACCACAGGCGAAACGAATCGAATGTGGCCAGCGAGTGGGCGAGACTTGTTCGAGATAGGACGAACAACGTGGGGTAAAGCCTCCTCGAGGTCGGGCCGGCGGGGGCCAGCGCCAAGCTGCATGGTAATCAACCAGGTTGGCTCAGATCCATGCTTCACGGGGCCGGCGAAGATCAGAACGTGGCGGGCCGCGGGCAAAAAGCTGAGGATGAAGGACACGTCAGAGGAGCAGTAGAAATATGGCATATGACACGGGAAGAGGACGACCGATGAGGAGGAGGAGGAGGAGGACGAGGAGAAGGAGGAAGACGAGAACGAGAAGGAGGAGAAGGAGGAAGAGGAGGGGAAAAGGACGGCGACGAGAATGAGGAAGCCGAAGGAGGCGGATGGCGACCAGCGAGGGGGGGGAAGGAGGAGGAGGAGGAAGAGGAGGAGGAGGAGCAAGAGCAGGAGGAGGAGGAGGAGGAGGGGGAGGAGGGGGAAGAGGACGAGGAGGGAGGCGGCTGACTGAATCACGCGAGAGGTCATGATGGAGCGAGAGAGGGAGGAGGATGAACAGGCAGGTCAGAGAGAAGAGACAACACGCAAACTGCATAGGAGTTAAACCCACCTTGTACGGCACGGGGCGGACGCCATGTTGGGCCTGGATGCCCATCACGTTCGGCTCCCATGCGCCGAAGTCGAGGCGCCGTTGGTCTGGTGCTCACTTGCAGGCTGGCGCTCACTCGCGGGCTTTGGCTGGAGCTCGCCCGCAGGCTAGGGCTTCCTCGCAGGCTGGTCCCCCCTATGGCAGGCTGGACGTCGGTCGCAGGCCGGGTGTCCCGCGGCGGACTCCTGGCAGGCGGACTCCCGCGCTCGGATGGGGTCCCGGACGCTGCCACGCGCTCAGTCCACGGCCGCGTGCCCGTCCCAGGACAGTCGGGCCAGTGGTCAGAACCGCGCCCGGGAGGCTCTCTCTCACTCACACACACACACAAACACGCACGCACGCACGCACGCACGCACGCACGCACGCACGCACGCGCACACACGCACACACACGCACACACACACACACACACGCACACACGCACACACACACACACTCACACTCCTCTCTGCTGTTCGAAGCAATCCCCAAAGTCTGCCCAAGCCGCAGCCCGTGAACCATCATTCGCTGCGGGGGTGGTTCTCTTGTGGTTCCGATGCGGCCACCGCCCGCCCCCGCCTGGAGAGGCGGGGGGGCGGCAGGGTCACGGGGCGCGGGGGGAGGGCATTCGGTTTCGGGATGCGGAGCGGCAGCAATTCTAGTCTCGTGCATGTTCTGCGAGATGCGCGCAGGCCTCTGCTGACAGGCCCCCAGCTGAATCAGCAACGCAATCCAACATGTCCCCTCTTCGCCACGACCTGCTCTCTCTCTCTCTCTCTCTTCCTTGTCCACGTCCTCCTCCTCCCCCTTCTCCTCCTCCTCCTCCTCCCTCTCCTCCTCCCCTCCCCCTCCTCCTCATCCTCCTTGTCCTGGTGCCGCACTAGACAGCGGCATGGAGGCGAGGTAAGCCTGTGACGGACAAGGTCTCCCACGTTGCGATACGACCGGGCTCCGTAAGCCCAAGCGCGCCTCCGCACGCGAATATTTCTCGGCGATCGCGGCCTCGCGTGCGGCGTCGAGGCGGAGAAAGGAAAAACGATCCGAAGCCGGGAACGGGCGCGCGCGCGCGCGCCACTGGCCCCTCAGACGGGGCAGAAATCCGTCAGGATCAACGGTGCCATGTGCAGACCCGAGCGTGGGCACACACTCGGCCACACACACACACATATGTTTTTTTGCGTCGCGGCCCTGCGCGCGACAACAAAACATAGAAGCATACTCAAACATACACACACGCACTTGTTGCTCGGCAGGCGTGCGTGCGCGGCGTCGCGCCGCAGAATCACGGCGGCGGGGGCAGCAAGGCCGAAGCCTCGCGCGCGCACGCTCACACGCTTGTAACCTCGCGGCCCGGTGGTCCAACGCAGCGAGAGCAGAAGCGGAACGCGCTGAGAGTGGTTGCTACCGAACGTGTGCCGATGGGTGGTCAACCGAAATTCACACCCACGCCCAGACGGGCGCACGACTGCATGGACTACGGATCCGTGTAGCTGGCGCGTAGGCGCCGGATCCAATGACCAGAGGAGGAGGAGGAGGAGGAGGAGGACCAGAGGAGGAGGAGGAGGAGGAGGAGGAGGAGGAGGAGGAGGAGGAGGAGGAGGATGAGGAGGACCAGAGAAGCTGCCTCCCGAAACATGAGGCCAATGCCGCGTCACATGGCGACCGGGCGCGCCGCTTCTGCACGGAAGTTGGACCCACCGCCAATCCGCGCGCCGGATGAAACGCTTGCGCTTCCTCGACGCCCACACACACAGACACGCACACTTCCAACTACCCAGCGAAGCCCAGCGGCAAAACAAGACACAGATGAGGAGGAGGAGGAGGAGGAGGAGGAGGAGGAGGAGAAGCCGAAAGAAAGCGGCGAACCACCGGAAGAAACGATAACCGACTTGCACTCGTAAGTCCGGCGGGCCTGGCCACACACACACACATACACACGCGAGGAAGAACCTCCTCGGCCCCCCCCCCCCCTTGTCAGCCCTGCTGAGCCTGCTAAGCCGGTGGCAACTGCATGCCATATCCGTGCAGCGGTAAGGATAGAAAGAGAAAGCCACGTGCAGCCATCGCCTACTGGGGCCTGACTGGTAAGTACGGAACGCCTGTCCAAAAGGACCTCGTAAGATGTTGGCGATTTGAGAGTGGCATCTTGCAACAAAATGGCAAAGGCCACGACAACATCACATTCAGGGACCATGACCACACCGTGCCCCACCTTGCAATCCAGACTCGCATGCCAATCACGATCTCAACTCGCTGAGCGCCAAGACATACGAACACAGCAAATTCGCTAACGATCCGCCCGCGACTTTTGTAGAAATTACCCTCAAGCCTGATATTGGCAAACACCGATGCTGCTCGCACTGACATCTCCTGGCCATAAAGCTGAAACGCCGTGTCCATTGACCATTCGCTGACGCTCTTGCACCTCCCCCTCCTCCCTCTCCTCGCTGCGCGCTTGCTCGAGCATACCGTCCCCGAACATCGCCGCTTGTAAGCCCGCAGTGGAACCGCACCAGACAACCATATCTTACAGGAACGGTGGGGCGAGACAGTCATGAACTGAGGAGGCTCCAACAGCTCTCATCGTCACTCTCGTCTGAATCCTCCTGAACTTCCACCTCCTCTCCTGTTCCACTCCCACCCGTCCCCACTTCCGTGTCCCCCCATCCGTGCCACAAGGCTTCCTTCGCGCCTGTGAAAAAGAAGGGCGCCGTAGTACTGCCCGTGCCCCCATGCTATCAGCCACCAATGGAAGACCTGAAATTCACGGACGAAGTCATGCCCTGGCGACTCGGACTGCCGGGCTTCTCGTCCTCTCTGTCGTTCCCCATCCTCCTGTTCTGCCTCCTACGCGTCCTGCCCCTCTCCCCCTCGTCAACCTCCTGAACCCATGTCTTTCCGTATCTGCTTGCTCTCATCTTTCTCATGCCCTGTCCGGCTGTTCTCCACGTCTGCTCTTCCTTCTCATTTGATGTCGGCGCTATCCAGGCGGGGGGGGAGGGGGAGCGGACACATCAGCACGATGACGCTCTCGGCGACACTACCCCTCCCCCTCTTCAATCCTCCCCCTACTTGCTTTCCTGTTCCTGCTCTTCCTCCCCTGAGTCCGTTGCGAGGCAAGAGGGAAGGAGGACACCGAGACCCAGGGACGCGGAGTGCACAATCATCCCTCGTTGTGTCGGTCTCCTGGCCTTCCTCATCCTCGTGCTCCTCCTCGCCCTCCTTCCCCTCATCCCTGTCCTGCCCATTGTGCCCCCTACTTTTCCTCTTCCTCCCCTCCCCGTCATGCCCCTCATACCTATCCTTCCCCCTCCTCCTGCATCTCACGAGCGAGAGCCGCATACGACAAAGTCAGGCGTGAACGGCCATTGGTCGGAGAGCGTTCAGCGGAACGGAACGACCTGGGCAGGCGAGATTAAGCTCGCCCCCCTCCAATCGACGCAAAGCGGTGGGCTGCACCTCCGTCGCCTTTGTGCGTGGCACGGATTGGACTGCTTCCGACGGTGCGGTGCCTCCGAACGGCCCTGACGTGTCTCCGACTGGGGTACACTGTAAAATCGTGACAGATGATCAACGGTGGAGGAGGAGGAGGAGGAGGAGGAGGACGACGACGACGACGAGGAGGAGGAGGAAGAGGAGGACGAGGAGGAGGAGGAGGAGGACGAGGAGGAGGAGGAGGAGGAGGAGGAGGAGGAGGAGGAGGACAGGCGCGCCACGCTGCAGGGGAGACGGGGCCGCTCACGTGCGACCTCACGCGGGCAGCTTGCGCGCCAATGTCGGCGCAGACGGCCCCGTTCCTCTGCGTCGCCCAGACGGCTCCAACGGCTACAGTGGGGGCGTTGACCCAAGGAACGCTGAATAAGGAACGAGGCCCCCTTCTCCCATCAGTCAAAATTCGATTTCCCATCGAAAATCTAAGGAAAACCTGAGGCAAGCTGTGAAACCATCAAGGAACACGGAGCCCCTCCCCAACGAAAAGGGTTCCTTCTTCAGGGCCCCGACTGTATGTCCCTCTCTGGCGAGACTGATGGGAGGAAGGGGGGGGGGCTCCCCCCAGCTTGCGGGGCTCCCTCTGGCGTGCAAGACGCGGGAGAACAAGGGTTCTCCCCAGACACGTGCTTGCCCGCAGGGGCTCTCACCTGTCTTCTGAAGAACTGGGCCTGGCCGGCGGTCTGGCCGGCTCGCGGCCGCACGTCGCCGCCGCCGGCCTGCACTGCTTTGCACTGCATTGCTCAGCTCTGCTCTGCGATGCGTTTGCGCGTTGCACTGCTCTGCGAGCCTCGCGTTGCTTCGTACTGTTTAGCGCTGCTTCGCATTGCTCTGCACTGTCCAGCAGCATTGCTCTGCATGGCAGTGCATGGCATGGCATTGCTCTGCTTTGCATTGATCTGCACCACATAGGGCGGACGACATGGAGTGCACCACCTAGATTGCACCACGTGGATTGCGCACCCGCGATTGCACCGCATAGGTCGCACAGGTGCACCCTGTTTGGGGTCCACCCTCGCCCACATGTTGTACTTCGTGTCAACTTGAGAAAAGCAACATGGTTGCTTTTGTTTGGGGGACGTGCTCAAGGCTGCGCCGCACCTTGAAATCTGAGCATCTTTTCAGGGTGGAGGGCTCAAGGGGAAACCCGTATGGGCTCCTGCACCTCGAACACCAATCCGTCCTGTGAGCCACCTTTTGCAGATCCAAGCCTCGAGAATCCACCGAAACGACATTTCAGATTCCACCCCTTGCCCTCCACCCAAAGAGAATGCCCAGGAAATACCGGGTGCGGCGGCCAGTTGGGTTTGCTGAACTGGAGGAGGAAGAGGAGGAGGAGGAGAAGGAGGAGGAGGAGAAGGAGGATGAGGAGGAGGAGGAGGATGACGAGGAGGAGGAGGAGGAGGGAGGATGAGGAGGATGACGAGGAGGATGACGAGGAGGAGGAGGAGGAGGAGGGAGGAGGAAGAGGAGGAGGAGGAGGAGAAGGAGGAGCCTAAACAACGCTCTTCTGGCTGCGCCCCAGGACGCCACCGAGCGCAGAGAGCGAGGCCCCCGCCGATGCGCCGACATATGCCCGGGCCCTCCCCGCGCGAGGCCCCCGCCCGCGCGTGCGAGGCGCCACTCACGCAGCGAGGCGCTCGCGCAGCGAGGCGTCACTTCCGGCGCGGAGCGAAGGTCCATATGTGTATGTGTGTGTATCCTCCTCCTTCTCCTCCTCCTCCTCCTCCTCCTCCTCCTCCTCCTCCTCCTCCACCTCCTCCTCCACCTCATCCTCCCCCCCCTCCTCCTCCTCCTCCTCCTCCTCCTCCTCCTCCTCCTCCTCCTCCTCCTCCTCCTCTTCCTCGTCCTCCTCCTCCTCCTCCTCCTCCTCCTCCTCCTCCTCCTCCTCCCTCCAGGCGCCCCCGCCGCCTGGCCACGAAGCCAATGCGACGCGCGCCACGGCCCCGCACCCGTTGGGGCGCGGGACCGCCTCTCTGGTCCCCTGGGGGCCCCACCGCGTCCCGGGCGCGCTCCCCACGACCCCCTCGCGTCGTAACAAAATCCCCATGACCCAAAAATGGGTCCAACTAAAAGAAGTGGTGCAATATATTTAGGGCAATGGAATTGCAAATGTATTGCGCCAGGGAACTGTACTGCATTGTATTGCGATGAATGCGTTGCACGCGAAACTCCACCAATCCACTTGCGCACTGGAATGTATTGCACCCCCCAAATCGATTGCAATTGCATCAAATCTATTGCACCACCTCCTTTTCGCTGGACCCCCTTTTGGGTCACCCAGACAAAACCACGACGGGAAAATTGTCAATATTTGCGGCCCCCCAGGGGCCCTTACCAGGCCTCGGGACCGTGAACAAAACGACCCAGGATGAAAAACCGGTCAGGGGGAGGGGCTCCAGATCTCTGGGGGTCGACGTCGTGAACCAAATCACGACGTCGGGGGGCTGGGCCCAGAGCGCCCAACATGACCAAGGTGGCTTCCAAGAGGGCCAAGTCAGGCCACCAAGGTCGCCACGATGGCCCACGACCCCCCCCCTCTGGTCCTCCGCCTTCTCTGGAAGGGGGCCACGCGGGGCCAGGGGAGAGAGCGGAATGCACCCCTCGGGCGCAGGGCGGGGCAGGTGCTGAGGGGGCTGGGATCCAGGTGGCGCGGCCGCGCGCTTGAGCATCCCACCCCCTGGCAGTCCTGATTCGAGTAGGCGATCGACTACAAATTTATCTACCCCCGAACTGTTTTGTCAATCGAGCCGACGACACATACGAATATTCTTTGTAGGTCTACGAACGTTGCGCGTATTTGTTGGTATATTCGACGAGGGAATAATAAATTTTGAGTTACATCAATTCTGTAGTCGATCCCTTACCCGACTGATGAGGGGGTGGGACGCGTGCCCCTATTTCACGCCCCCTCCTCGTCCTCCCCACCTGCAAGGCACACACAGGACCACAGAGCGCCCGTACGCCACCGTCTCCCCGGCGTCTCGTCCCCCCGCTTCCCACCGCCTCCTCCTCCCTGCGGGCCCCACGAATAGACACCACCACCACCACCATTCCCCCCTCCCTCCTCTGCTCTCCTCTTTCCCGCCTCCTTGCTGGGAGAGGGAGGGGGTGAGGGAGGAGTCGGCCCCCGCACTCCCCTCCCTCCTCCTCTGCCTGCCCCTCCTCCCCCCCCGGCCTCCGACGGCGCGCCCGGATGCCTCGGCCGCCTCCCTGGCACTCGCCTGTCCTCCCGGGCAGCCCTGTCGACCGCCCCCAGGGGCCCAGCGGGTGCCCCCCCAGACGCCGGAAGTGAGGAACCAAGATCAGCTGGCACCACATCCGCCGGCCCCCTTGCGGGGCCACCAGGCTGCGAGGCTTAGGCTTGCTGCTCCCTGCCAGCCAGCTCCAGCTTCCAGTTTCCATTGTTGCAGTACTGCTTCGCGGCAAAGCCAAAGCCTCATGACTTCGCTCTTCCATGGCCCATTCTCCGAGAGAGGGGGGGCCGGCGGCAGGGGGCGAAGCCCTTACGGATCTGGAGATCGGATCGGCTCGGAACGTGCGTCGGACTGGGAAGCATTCGCACGGAGCCGACA